ACTGTATTTTAATTGAAAATTCTTAAAAACAAATAACTAAACATAAGTGGCAAACAATATCGCTTTGAAAGGAGGGTGCTACAGATATGTCCAATACTGTGTGTATTTATTTTCCTATGTTTTTTTTTGAAAAATTCAAAATTTAGCGACTTTGAGGGTCGTTTTCTCAAGTCAATTTTAAAATTAAAAAAATTTTTTGAAGGGCAGATAAAATTTAAAAGTTACTTAAAAACCAGCCCTGACTTTACTAAACAATTATCAAATGTTAAGCCCAATATGTATGTGCATACATACATACATACATTCAACAGTTTGAACGCCACTATGCTTATTAAACTAAGGCTCAGTTACTGCCGACCTCAGACGACAGCTATCAACGGAATATATAACATTTCTTCTCCTTTCTAACAATATGTGGGTATATTCTAATAAATTTCAATTTTTTTTTTAAAGAAACTCACCTTTTAAATGATTTTTATTAAACTCCCACTTTGACTTTTTATATACACCTTCATGCTAATTCACTGAACACACTAACAACACATTTGCATACTTGTGCATGCAACTATAACATTTTTCTCTTACACTTCACTCACGAAATTTGCACATAAAAACAACGCCCGCGGTAATTTTTTGTACTCAATTGATAGAGCATTTTCTGAACTACAACGTTTTCAACAAAAACCGACACTTGCGACGTTATTTTCCATGAAATTTTCACATTTTTCCACCTAAGCTGCTCAGCAGTCAACGTGTGCAAATTCGCGGCAAGGAAACTGGCGAATAACGGAAGATGGCGATGGTTAAGGTGTTACCTTATGTAGAGGGCAAAGTTCTAAGAGCTTTTGGGAGTATTTCAATGTGGAGTATGTATAAAATTGAAATTGTTTATCTTGTAGAAGTATACGAATACATATGTTTGTATGTATGTACATACGTACATATGTATGAGTATACAAAATATTATAAATTATTAGTATTAATATTTCTTAAAGATTTCCAAAATAAAAATATAAATAAAAAAATAAATAAAATAAATAATATAAAAAAAACTTTTTAATATACAACGCTTTTATAAATGGACTAAAAAGTAGAAAATAATACTTCTCAGTCCCATAGAATTTGTTTTGATAACTTTTGATTTTGAAATTTTAGCAAAAGTCATTATAAACAATCTATGAAATTGAAAATGAAAA